AGACTGCGTTTCGCGTACTCCGAGCGAACTAGTTCGCTCTGCCGGTGACCAAAAGCGACCTAGTCCCTTCGCACGCGAACCTTTAGCGACCTAGTACGCCTCCGACGGGCCAACGACGCGTCCTATTCACGCCCCAGTCCCGGCAAAGCGCACCCTTCGCGAACCAGTCCTCCTTGTTTCGATGACCAAAAGCATACTAGTCTCACTGCGCGCGCACCAAAAGCGACCTAGTCGACAGGGGAGCGACCTAAAAGCGTCCCGAAAACGACCCAAAAGCGTACTGAATTTTTCTGTACGGGTGTACTTTTGTTGTGTTTTTTTTTCTTGCAGTGCAGATCGAGAGAACACAAAGTTTAGGGTGACTTTTGTTCACTGTCTTTGCCGGAAGTGTCACTTCAGCCTGCAAACACCCCTGCACACGTGGAGAACATGCCACGCTCCTGGAATGAGAGCGCAACTTTTGATTCACCAAGCGCTTCCTGCGGGCTCTGTTCCAGGCCCTGAACTCGTTTAGCATGTATTCGTTGACCTGCATGATGCGAGCATTCTTCGATTGAAAGAAGAGTCGACAGCTGGAGGAGTAACTGAACGGCACAACCTTCAAATTGTTTGCTGTAAAAAAAAGTGCGTTGTATCGCAACGTTGACACAAATGCTATTTTTTTCTCTGATGCTTGAATATATATATATATATATTAATGATGAACGTCGATGCTCCTTCTTTGAGTCTTCACCGCAGTTGGGTAGCAAGCTGTTTGGGATAAAGGCCCATGCCTATTGGTGGCCCTGGGACGCGGTGACCTATTTTCGTTTATTTGGCCAAAGCTGCTGAGCGCTTTTGCCTCCAGGATTTCCGTTGTGGGGGTCGGGCACTTCTGGCAAATGTGTATCACAGGTTGTCTATCTACAAGGATATTGGGACGTTTCGCCTCATTAACCGTCTTAAGAGTTAAGCGGGGGCATTTCTTAAATCTCAGTTTGGTCAATTTGTCAGTTTGAAACAAAGTTTGAAAGCTTGTTTGAATTGCCCAGTGTACTTTCTGCTGTGAAATCATATGTCCAGTCTTTAGAGAATGAAGATCGATGAAGATTATCTGAGTAATTTTGTGCAAAGTAAACTTCCGAAAACTAAATGTCTAAACTTTGTTGGTAAACTTGTTTCACCTCTCTTTTTCCATTTTGACGAGATTGTAACAGGCAATGATCTTGGTTCTCACAGTTCGATTCATAAGTTAGCTGCAATGTATGCAAAGTGTCCATGTCTCCCTCCAGAGTTTGTTTCTAGGGACGGGCGATTTTGCAATTAATCGCAGGTGCGATGCGATTTTTTCAAAAAATCGCGATGCGATTTTGGTTTTTGAACCTCGGCGATTAATCGCAAAATCGCAAAAAATCGCTAAATCGCAAAGATCGCACCGTGCATGGATTTCGCGACCACTGCACCGAACGAGGCTGGCGCGTGTTGTCGGTGCCACTAGCCTGCCATTTGACCACTCAGGAATTTGTTTTGGCACTTTTTTAAAAGATTTTGTGCCATAATGGGTAGTATTTACGTATTGTTGCGTTTGTTTGCGATTTTGCTATTCTTGCGATTCTTGCGATTTTTGCGATTCTTGCGATTTTGCGATTAATCGCATGAAATCGCGATATATGAGAAATCGCAATCGCGATACTAAAATTTGGAAATCGCCCGTCCCTATTTGTTTCCATGCTAGAGAAGCATTTTCTTGTGTTATTGTTTCATGCTGCTGATCGTAGTGCCGTGTGTGGGAAACTTCAAACAACAAAGTAATTTTCAACAAAGTGATAGTGGAAGTTTATCAAAATGGGAACTAATGGCATTACTATCAGCACTGAAAGAGGGGACTCTAAGTTTATTTCTATGTTGGTTTAATACTTGGAGACAACTTAGGTTTGCATTCTTTTCTGGGATTGGTGGAAAGTTTCACTGCAAACTACCCCTGCATGTATTGTAAAATAACCAAAAAAGATAGTGGATACCTGCAAACAAGATTGTTCAGTACTTCGCACTGTTGAGAACTACAATGAGGACTTATTACTGCTGACCCATCTGCTGATGGTATTAAAGAAGAGTGTGTTTTTAATGCAATAGATTATTTTCACATAACTTCTAATTATACTACGGATTTAATGCATGATTGCTTGGAAGGTGTGTGCAATTATGATATGACTGAAATATTGTATTATTTTGTGTTTCTAAGAAAGTATTTTACCTTAGATTTCTTCAATAGTATTATGGAAATGCTATTAATAGGCCTCCACTCATTGCAGAAAAAGATTTGAAAGCAGGATCTCTCCGTATGTCAGCTGATTCGATGTTAGTCTTTGTCCAGAATTTCCCTGGAATTATAGGAAATTTAGTTCCACATGATCATAAATATTGGACATTGAGTTTGTTTCTGTACGATATTATCATCATCTTGATGAGTCCCAAACTTCAGTTTGCAACCATTGCTTACCTAGATTATTTGATCATCCAACATCACAAATTGTATGTTAGGTTGTCGGGTGATACTTTAAAACCTAAACATCACCGTATGTTACATTTTGCGTTCAAAATAAGCCAATCCAGGCCTCTGAGCATTACTGGAGCATGCTCTTTGAATCCAAGCATCGCATATTGAAAAGATACAGCAATGTTTGTGTTTCTAGGGGTAACCTATCTCTCTCTGTTGCACCTAAACATCAATTGATCTTTGCCTACCGTCTTCTTTGCTTCAGAGGTTTTACTGAAAGAACATCTGTTACACTGTCAGAAAATTCCGAAAAAAAATGGAAAAATCATGGAGTTTTTCCGAAATTTCTGCATGGAGCTCTCCATAAATGCAAATTCTGGGCTTTCTCCGAAAAATTTCGGAATTTTGAACGAAAATGCATGCTGCACTATCACAAAAACACGAAAAAAGGTTTGCAACCAGTTTAAAATTGAGGGAAGGGTGAACCCCTACTTTTTGAGCTCAGTTTTCATAATATAAAGGGAAAGCTACAGGATATAAGTCAAATGAGCTCGAATGAGGTTGTCCCTTCTTGACCATATCAGACCAAAAAAATGCTTCAGCGAAGTCCTCTTTAATATATTTGAGAAAAGACTTCCATGTTACCTCCTATCTGGACCCAAGGAATGCTCCGAAGAACATCTTTATAAGCGCTGAGAAAATCTCTCCGAAAATAAATGGAAAATGAATGGAGTCTCCATGAACGTGATTATAGGGTTTTTCTCCATAAAATTTCGGAGCTAATTTCTAACAGTGTAGTTGCAGACATGTCACATTCAAAAATACTGACGTAAGTCGTATCTATGACATTCCTTTAAATCCAGATTTTAAGTTCATTTCCTGTCAAAATTTTGTGAAAAATAGTGGTACAATGTACAGACCTGGAACTTGTCTTGCATTATCTTGTAATGAATTTGGTCTACCTGTATGTAGTAGTATTGAAAAGATTTGTATTTCAAAGCAGAATGATATTTTCTTTGTTATTTCTGACATGGAAACTATAAGTTACAGCCTACACTTTCATTCCTAAAATGTAGTCAAATGCATGTCCTATCGTTGGCTTAGTTTTAAGTCGATACCATTGAAAATACCGGTGTACTGTCGTGCTGTGCTTACTGATACATTTATTGTTTCTTTGCATCATCAAATCTGAAATTGTATTAGATGTATTGTTATTGTATCAATTGTATTGTTAATAAATCTATAATGTTAAGAAAAAAAATAACGACCATTCATTTTTAGCCCAAACTTAAACTCTTTCTGATACTTCCTTCTCCCAACACACTAGACACCTATTGGAACACATTAAAAAACGAGGGGGTAAACACTCGCGTAATACCCTGTACACAAAAACCGTGTATTACGCGTAATACACGTCATGGTAATGCCATTTTTGTGCTAAATATGCCTAATTTGGGCATTTTAGTGCCGTCACTGGTATTTCTAATGTGATAACTTTCATACAATTTGCTGCGATGAAAAGGCTAGTGGGATTCTCTCAAATTATCGCATCTGTGGCAGCCATAAAAAATTATCGCACTAAAATTGCAATAAGTCCCTTAGGGTTTGGCCGGTCTGGGCCCAGATTATCACAGTTTCGGCGTGATAAAATGATAACTACACAAATAATGCGATAAATGCGCTAATGCAATACAATAATTATTGCACTTTTAATGCAATAACTTTTCCATGGCGCTACTAATGCAATAAACATGTTATTGCTTTTTAAATGAGTTCATTATTACATTCGGAAAATCAGTGGTAATACACGTGTAATGTCCCCGTAATACAGCGTAATACCGAGTACTCTGTACACGATTTCGTGGAGTGTTTACCCCCTCGTTAAAAAAGAAACACTAACAAAAAAAAGAGGTATTAGGAGGCGTTATACGAGGAGCTATACGTTACCACGAGGAATTATACCTCGTGGGATTAAAACTGGTGGGACTGTATACCTGCTGGGGTAACCCCCCAAAAAATCCACCTTTTTAGAATTTAAAAAAATGCTTTGGGACATAAAATGTTCATAGGACTCTATTAATTGTGCTTTGTAGTCGGAATACCTTCACTTGAACCAGTGCCGTTGGATAATGTGATTGAGTGCATCTAATGAAAATGCATTCTTGACGTTAAACTAGTTGGGCGACCCTATTGGTGATGTTTAACCACGGTTCATGGAAAGAGCGGTAAGATTTATGAAACTCGTTAAAAGCTGACAAAAAAATCAGACGATTGTAGTCATTGAACCGTTCAAAAGCGGAAACAGAACACACTGCTCAAACTACTTCAAGCGTCCCAGTCAAAGGTTTGACCAGTTCTATTTTTATTGAAGTGTTCAAGCTTGGGGGATCGAAGTTTTCATTCCAGGAGTCAACCACTTTTCCCAGTGTGGGAAGGAGACGAAGACAAGAAACAAAGCCCAGTAGAATCAAAATGGAGCAGCTTTTATTAATTCTCAACTTGAAACGCCAACTTGTAACGGGGGATGACTCCATTGCCAGCGCCCTGGCATGGAGAGCAATCGGCCGACCCGGGCACGCCGCCCGTCCGCACGTTTTGATAACTTCTCTTTTGTCACGTCTTTCACGAGTGAAATGGGTTTACACAGACACTACGTCCACCACGGCGCGGACACAGCCTCGGATGCCGGTAGGCGCACGCGGCTTGTTGTGCAGGAACCGAGCAATGGCCTTGTAGCGCCCGTACGGCAGCAGCGGGAAGTGGCGCATGGGGAGGAGCTCGGCCGGCGTGGTGCCTCCCTTATACACGCCCTGCGAAATCGAAACGGAAATGCTGGCTGACGGGGCATCGTGGGCCAGAAGACCAGGGCAGGCGGCCGAAACTCTGAACGAGTTTCGAGTTGCTTAACAGGACTCGAACCGAACGGAACGGTTGCTGATTATCTCAGGAAGACTTTAGTAAAAGAAATGGGTGATATCGAGGGAGTTCCTTAGGAGACAAGGAACCGTATTTATCGTTGATTGACCCCAACAATGGATTCCTCGTTCGGGAAACATTTCGATGGTGGGGTCACACGTTGGGGAGAACTGTTAAGCGACTCTGGAGCTCAAACCGAGTCTAGAGTTTTGAACGCCGGCGCCGGTCTTCTGGCCCACTCCGCGTGGTCCTCAATGGGGTATTCCGACGCAGTAAAATATATGTAGGGCTCATACCGGTGAGGGAGGCCAGAGAAATATCGGGTTAAATTAATGAAAGGAAACTGGAAATCACGGAAAGGGAGGTAATACAAATGATCAGGGAGACGCACTGTCTTCTATTTCACTAAAGAATGGCCAATATTGACTCACATCAGCGATGGGGCACTTGGTGGGGATCTGACCGTTGGAAGATATGTCGTGAATGATGTCGGCTAAAATCTCATCGAACACGAAGCAGAGTTCTCCGAGGGGAAGTACGAGGAAGTGCTCTCGCCACCCGGACACGGGGTCCCACTTGGCGCAGTCGACCGTGATCTGCGTTCGGCAGGGAGTGAAGTTTCACGGATGCACTACAAACCTAACTGTCTAGTAGACCCTACTGTCTTCTACGAAGTACACACTTACAAATGCATGCTTGGCAAGTACACACTTACAAATGCATGCTTGACAAGTACACACTTACAAACGCATGCTTGGCGCCGTATAACTCTATGCTAACCATAGGCGTTTGTAAGTGTGTACTTGCCAAGCATGCACTTGTTAGTGTGTACTTGACCAAGCATGCGTTTGTAAGTGATCCATGAAGCAGAAAAGGGGGATAACTCAATTTTTATCTTTTTCAGGAGAAACAAAAAACTGTTGAGTTTGCAGTGTGCAGGTGCCCAAAAATTTATGTCGAAAACTGTCTTCATCGGCAAAGAGTCGACGGGTTGGGACCGGACTGCCACTCTTTGCCTTCGCGAAAACAGAACAGCACATGGTGCGCAGGCCGGGCTCCGTCAGTGCTCCGAGCTCCGGAAGGTCATAAAACCATTAGCCGGCCCTTGGATTGTACACTGGAGTGGCCAGAAGCGCTCAGCCGACCGGCACCTTACGTATCCACGTGACCTGGCCTAGTCGGCACTCCGGTTCCGGGTCCCGCCAGCGCTCGGGTGAGCGCTGCCCGAGCGCTCGCGGCAGGGAGGACCCCTATCATCCCAGCCGGGCCATAAACCCCCCTGCTCAAGGAGGGGCCGTCACACAAAGTTGACTCTTAGCCGGCGGACTCATTGCTGATAATGACTGTACCGCTCCTTTTTTTGAACCCCTTCTGATTCTTGAAAAGCTAACAGATGAACAAAAGTATCGGTTACCTTCACTGAGAAAACCTTACAAACTACTTTGGGCCTTACAAAGAAAAGTAGTTTGTATAACAAAGTATTTTGAGCACACATAAGCTTACAGAGAAAATACTTCGTAATTTACAAACCGTTTCTTCGTATAACAAAGTATATGAGTTTGTTATATGTATGCTCAAAATGCTTCGTAAGGTTTTAAGAGTTATTGGTTATTCCGAACCGAATAGCTCTACACGGTAAAAAAGGTTCCTGGTTTTTCCAGGGACTTCCTGGAACACTCTACAAAAAATGTCCTGTCAACGCCGTTAATTTATTACCAACGTTTGCTGTTATGCAATTCACGGCGTTTGCTGTGAACTAGTTCACGGCGTTTACTGTGATCTCGGTTACAGTGTTCACTGTGATCTGGCCACAGTAAACGCCGTGAATTGGAGCCTGATTTGCAGTACTTCGGTGCTCAGCGACGTCAAACTCACAGTGTTTGCTGGGGACCAGATCACAGTGAACACTGTAACCGAGATCACAGTGAACGCCGTGAACTAGTTCACAGCAAACGCTGTGAATTGACCTACAGTGAAAACTGGTAATAAATTAACGGCATTTACAGGACATTTTTGGTAGAGTGAAATCGCCCATTTCCTTCCCACCAGGAAAAGTTCATACCGTGCATGTGCTGGTACAAGGAATGATGATAAGGTTGGTAATACCTTGGACTCCCCGCGCAGGAACATCCCATTGTGAAAGGTGGAATTAAACTCCAGGACTGGAATCTTGCGAGAATGGTTGTGTCTGAGTATTGAGTCCATTTGAAAGTCGGAGGGCGATATCTGGTCGCTCACTTCATTTCTGGGGCAGTTCCCTAGAGCCTTTATCCTTATGCGGTACGGACCCTGAAGTCAACAGGATGTTTTTAGTTACAAATTATTTACACAACACTGTTTCGAACGAATCCCCTTACTAAATACAAAAGAGCGTGAATGAAATTTAGACTGAAAAATTAGCGGCTCAATTTTTAGATACCTGGCACGAAAAGCCTGGAAGCTATAAATATAACCAAAATCTATAGAGGCAGAAACAGAAAATTGGCGATAGCTCAGCCAATAACATTTTCTTCTCTGTGAAATTTTGTCTTCGGGCTACCACTGCTTGGGATCCAACACACCGACCAAATTTCGCCAGAACCAGAGAAGGTCGCTGTAAGGTCCTGTTCCCTTTCGATAAATTTTGCTCCAAAACAGATTTAAGCCTATAAATTCCATATGGAGGCCCAGTTTAGAGGCATTTTTTTTAAGAAGTCCGATCGTGGAACACGACCGATGCCGATTTCCTCCATTTTTTGGTCAAAGGTAGTCCTTGTGGGTCTAAGAAAGGCCACAAATTTTTTGGGCCGAAATATGCACCGTTCAGATTCTATGGGCAATTTTCGTTTTCTCTGACAACTTTTCACATTATATGGCCAAAATTGAAAAATCACCTTTCTGAGGCCTCTATGCACTCGATTGAGCTCAAAATGTGGTATCTTATGTAAAATCACGCGAGGAACACGAATCCGGTGCCCGTTTGTTGATAGGACAACCCAAACAGATGTTATGACTGTTTTTCAGGTTTTGTAGTGGCTTTTACTTTTCTTGGGGTTTTGGTGCTCGGCATCGATTTTCGCCAATCCGATGAGTGGATTTTATAGATAAAGGACCAATCTATCATACTACGAGATAAAAAGTTTGTGTACGCCGCGTAAAAAGCAGTGGCGCTGCAAAAATTGAAAAACCGTCATTTCTGGGTAGTTTTAGATCAGATAAGCCACCTTTCGCGTGACCGTCTCCGCCCCATATTCAGTCTAAGAGCAAGAATATATAAGATGTGACAGGGTTGGATTTCACCTCTCCGATTTGGCTCATTTTTGGTTGGTGTTTTAGTACCCTAGAGAGATGCCAAAAGCCGGAGTAGCAGGTCCGGCAAAAATTTATTAACCAATCTATTGCCGTTTTTCTGTATTTTTGAGTTTTTTGACTTAAATTTGGGACTTTTTTTAATTTTTCTACAGTTTTTGCACTAGGAAGCTGAGATAAGGTTTTCCAGACGTAAAATGAGCCAAGGAATCCAAATCTGGGTCTGGAATTGAGCTACGACCCATACTTCAGGAGATATTGGCAAAAAACTGCGAAAAGTTACCAAAAAAGTCCCAAATCTTGGGGAAACGGTCAAAAATTCCTCTGAGAGGGTTCCCGGGGGGTCTAAACTTTAGAGAATGAACCAAGAAATCCATTGAGCACAACCCCATATTTTTCCGACGAACCGTTTAGAAATGGCAGACTTTCAAAGTTGAGCGTTTTTTTTTCCTTTCAATTTTTTAAGCTTTTTGACCCCGTAGGATTGTATTTTCTTCTAGCATCCCATCGGCAATGTCCCCTTCCATCCAGAGTCACGTGGTGTGAACGCCGCGATGCAAAACCTTGGAATAGAATGCGCAGCACTTCAGCGCCTGTGAGGATCCAGCATAGGCAGACCCGTCAAGCAGGCGCGCGAGATGGGTTGCCTACCCAGCGCTGCGATTGCGATTAACGGCTGGACCACAAGTGATCGTCTGCCTTTCGGGCCCGCCCGGTCATGTCGGTGATTCACCAGCACGTGACGGGGCGTCCCTACTGAGAGGAGTGGTTTTCTCGGTAGACCGGGTTCATACGCCCACGAATCTGGGTATGTAGCGGGAACAGCCTTTTGGCCGTCCACCCCTATACACCTTATCCGAGTCCGACACTCGTCTTTGTTCACCCCGTTTCTAGGGGCTGTGTTGAGCAGGTCTTCTAGGCCTTCTGGTTGTTTTGGATTCCTGGCCGTTGGCACCACTGACCTCTTCTCGCCCTTTCTTCAGCGACCAGGGGACCGTTAAGATTTGCTCCAGACCTGGAGTCTCATTGTCCGACGCTGGAGGCATGAAGCCTACCCCTGTGGGAGAACGACCCAGCGCCGCGCTCTCCCCGTTCTCGCTCCACCCCACTGATAGAAAAAAGTACAGAAATTACACGGAACATGTCTGGTCAATTTTTTACCCGGACCGTCCGTACCTTGCCAACCACGGAGGTTCTGTACATGTTTTCTGTACCTGTTTACATGAGATCATGTACTCTGTGATTTAGTTTTAGAGGACAATAATGAAAAACTTGTGCTATCCCTCAGTGATGAAGAGAAGCTGTATTCTTTGAGAATCATGAAAAGACCTCGCCAATAATCATTCTTATTCAACATTGCTGCACTCTTCTCACAGAACTGGCAAAAGGTCTTTTTACATTTATACTACATTGTATGTAACCCATATTTAGTTGAAGTTGGGAAATTTAACTGTAACATATTTTTGTGCGCTATTATCTTACATATTTGTTGGGATAGAGAACATTAACATGGGGAATTTTCGATCTCAGTTATGCTATATGATTGTCAAAGTTATTTCTTAAATAAATTCCATCAGTTTTGCTGTAATCTTCTAAAGTTAATTCAATTTCACTGAAAGCATCTGAAACCAAGAACACCTACCAAACACAAAAAAGATGAGAGCTCCACTGGCATAAGCTCCTGCCAACGGGTAATGTAGGGCTCTAGCCCCTGCGCGTCGCTGGGTAGGCAACCCGTCACGCGCGCCTGCTTGACGGGTCTGCCTATTCTGGATCCTCACAGGCGCTGAAGTGCTGCGCATTCGATTCCAAGGTTTTGCATCGCGGCGTTCGCACCACGTGACTCTGGATAGTAAGGGACATTGCCGATGGGATGCTAGAAGAAAATACAGTCCTACGGGGTCAAAAAGCGTAAAAAATTAAAAGGAAAAAAATTGCTCAACTTTGAAAGTCTGCCATTTCTAAACGGTTCGTCGGAAAAATATGGGGTTGTGCTCATTGGATTCCTTGGTTCATTCTCTAAAGTTTAGACTCCCCGGGAACCCTCTCAGAGGAATTTTTGACCGTTTCCCCAAGATTTGGGACTTTTTTGGTAACTTTTCGCAGTGTTTTGCCAATATCTCCTGAAGTATGGGTCGTAGCTCAATTCCGGACCCAGATTTGGATTTCTTGGCTCATTGTACGTCTGGAAAACCTTATCTCAGCTTACTAGTGCAAAAACTGTAGAAAAATTAAAAAAGTCCCAACTTTAAGTCAGAAAACTCAAAAATATAGAGAAACGGCTATAGATTGGTCAATAAATTTTTGCCGGACCTGCTACTCCGGCTTTTGGCATCTCTCTAGGGTACTAAAACACCCACCAAAAATGAGCTAAATCGGAGAGGTGAAATCCAACCCTGTCACCTCTTATATATTCTTGCTCTCAATATTGTCCCAAGTGATGTCAGAGTTGGTGTGAAATTTCACCGCTGTAGCTCAAGTAGTTTGGAAATGGCAGCTTTCTAAAGTTTTGCAATGATGTAAGGCATTTACTTTAAGTAGAATTGCGGTAAATGTGAAGACTTGTCACAGATCGGGTAATAAATGAGATAGATGAGTGTGTCAAAGTTCTCTAAGCGTAATTTTGGACAAGGAATCCGATTCTGCTGGTACGAAGACCCTAGGCGAACTCTGAAGTCGGAAAAAAGGCCAATTTTATGTGGTTTGCACGAAAACGTAGTTATAGAGTACACTGGGCGATGCCGAGCACCAAAACCCCAAGAAAAGTAAAAGCCACTACAAAACCTGAAAAACAGTCATAACATCTGTTTGGGTTGTCCTATCAACAAACGGGCACCGGATTCGTGTTCCTCGCGTGATTTTACATAAGATACCACATTTTGAGCTCAATCGAGTGCATAGAGGCCTCAGAAAGGTGATTTTTCAATTTTGGCCATATAATGTGAAAAGTTGTCAGAGAAAACGAAAATTGCCCATAGAATCTGAACGGTGCATATTTCGGCCCAAAAAATTTGTGGCCTTTCTTAGACCCACAAGGACTACCTTTGACCAAAAAATGGAGGAAATCGGCATCGGTCGTGTTCCACGATCGGACTTCTTTAAAAAAATGCCTCTTACGGATCTTGCCTTACTGCGACTGCCCCATGCGTCACACTGTTGCGAAAGAGGGCCAGCTGCAAAGCGAGCAAGGCTTGCGCCCACAGTCGCATCGCCTCACAGCTGGGGAAAATGTTACAGACACCAAGATACAAACTGCTCGGCCTTCAGTCCTGTTCGGCCACCCATTGCCGGTTGGTGTTTTGAGTTTATCGAATGTTGCATGTCCCAGTGACGGGGAAAAAAAGGGGGGCTGACACGAAAGATGTCCTTCCGCCTGAAAGCTGCGTCAGTGGCGGGCGTGCTGATCCGCTACTGATACGACTTTCCCCGCCAAATAGGCACCTGAATGATGATGTATTTCGAGATTTCAACTATGTGTCGGGGCAACACACTAAAAAATACTGTGAGGATAAAAAAAAGGTCTTTCCTTCAATTACTACAAAGTACTGCAGGTCAAACTGCATGACATCTTGTGGAACCCTCGAGAAAGAAAGACATCGAGAAGGTAAGACAAGGTAAAGACGTGATGTAAACTTCCGGACAGAAGGCGTCCGGAGTGGCATTCACCAGTGACCTACCATGATCCTCCTTTCCCTCATGTAAGTGCAACCCACGTTATCGCATCCTCTCTTTTCTTTGAATCTTGCTTTTAACTTCCTCTCTTTTTAACAGGCAACAAAAATTAAAACTGAGGAAGCTCAACTTGTTGATGTCGAGAGAGTGAAAGTAAAAGAAGAGAGTGAAGAAAATATTAAGTTTGGTGGAGATAAAGGCAAATTGAAGAAAGTTGAAGAAGACTTGAAAAACCTGAAGAAAGCTTTAACAGCTATTGTTGAAGCTGAAAAGTTTAAGTTTAATGAGGAAAATCAGAAACTTAAGAGAGATGCAGAAGACTTGGAAAACATGAAGAGAGCTTTGTCACTTGAAAATTTGAAGTTGGATGAAGAGAGACAGAAATTAAGGAGCTAGTACACTCCGCAAGGTTTATAAAATTGTGTGTTTCGGAAAATTATTTGAGGGTAGAGGATGTAAGGAACGTCAAAACTGAGTATGGAACCTTATTTTACTTTCATTTCAGACCAAAATCACAAGTGGGTAAAATTCAAGGGGATTGACACGACCTGAACCTCATGTCGTCAGAACTTGATGAAAGTTGGCTCAAATGTTACCCCCAAAAGGGGTAAGTAAGCCCACAAAATTTGAACCCTCTAGCTCAACTAACATGGGCGCAGTGAGCAATCTAATTTTCGCCTGAAATTCATTTTCACCTTTTTCAGCAAAACGCACATTTTTGGAAAAGTCGTCGCGCTGGCCGCCCCGACGGCCTTTCCTCCGCCTGATCGACGTTCCTAGACTCAAAATTGTCTGGGGAATCCGAATCTGGTTTCGGTTTTCCGATAGCGTTCCGATAAAAATCCAAAAATGGCACTTTTTTACGGATATTTAGTTGGCTGAGCGATAGCGAAGCCTGTTACTCCAGTGCGGTTGAAAAGTTTTGTCTGTCTGTCTGTGTGTCTGTCTGTCTGTCTGTGTGTGTGTGTGTGTACACTACTCCTCCTGAACGGCTCGGCCGATCTGGCTGAGATTTCACAGGGTTATTAGGTATGTTCTTGGCTCGGCACACGCGAAATTTCACCATCCTAGCTCAAGTGGTTCAGTTTTTAAAGCCGAAAAACACCTAAAAAACGGCGAAAAATCGAGTTTTCTGTCGGTAGACCTCTCCTGTCTGGGTAAAAGGGGGGGTCTGGGGGGCGGAGCCCCCCAGCCACGACAAGTTGGAAAGTTTCAAGGGTCAAGATCGTGTAATTTGTAGATGAAGTACCTCTATCTAGAATGAAGGGGGGTCTGGGGGCCCCCAGCATGCAACAGTTCTGAAGTAACTGATGATGGACAAGCATTGTCTGCCGAAGGCAGCCTAGCGCCGCAGGCCAAGGTAGGTACGCCAGGCGCGGATTGGAGAAACAGGCAGCGACACATCGCGAAGCCTGTACGACAAGACGCGGTCTGGCGTAAACCTACCTTGTTATTTTAGGGGTTCACGCGACAGGCCGTATCCACTAGCCCCCAATCCAAACATGCCCGTTTCAACTTTTTTTCAGTTAAGGGACACCATAAGCTTAATTTTAAGATGGGCCCCGATATTGTGTATGGGTCTCGTTTAGGAGCTAGCCCTATGCCCAACTTTTGACTTTTTCCCTAAAACTTGTTTTTCTATGAAACCTTTAAAAAGGCATGGCCTCCTCAAAAAACGTCCTAGGCGGCAAATAAAGTAGTCTAACGGACGCAGAATTTCCCGAGGATCACGATGCTGCACGTGCATATGAGTTTTGGGGCCTCAAACACAGTCAAAACTACAAAAAACAACAAATTTATGTTAAATGCCCCAAATTGTTGAACGGCAATTACGACCCTTTTCCCCGTCGCAAGGCCGCTTTCCCGTTGCCTACTCGGACTCCTTGGAGTTTCCACTTTGAGAATAAGCAGGAAAGGGTCAGCAGCCCACACTGGAAACTGCGGATTTCCCCATAAGGGCGAGGCACCGCGCCGCTCAGGTGGGCAACCAGTTTGACGCACCCCTTGGCCACAGGCAGTGGGGGTCGCGCGCGCCGCCCGGGTAGGCAACGGCATTTGGTCTTTGGACCTTCCTTTAGGATGCTATTGTTACGGAGTGCGATTATTCACCTTAGTTTGGGTGCAGTATTGTCTCAAAGTTGATCAAAACCGACTTTAATGGCATTTTTGACCGTTTTGATCAACTTTGAGACAAGACTGCTCCCAATTAAGGCGCATAATCGCACTCCGTAACAAAGGCATGCTAAAGGAAGGTCCAAAGACCAAATGCCCGTTGAGAAAGTACAAAGGCCCGCCTCGGATCAGACGCAGAGGCTGCTTAAAGTCGACCCAAAATATGATTTTTCATAGGCATATAATCGCACTCCGTAACAAAGGCATGCTAAAGGAGGGGTCCCGTGGGGTTGCGAAATTTTTCCTGCTCTTCAAACCGACAAGCGTACATTGTATGCTCTAACTTAAGCATGCCTGCAAGCACGCTCTAGCTAGCGAATGCCTGCCAAGCGTGTACTTACTAGTGCATACATGCTATGTACACGCTAACTTTACTGAAGCATGCATCTAGTGCATAATGGATAGGGAGTTTCCTGCATCAGAAAGCGTGTACATGGCATGTATGCACTAGTAAGTGCATGCTTGGCAGGCATGCGGTAGCTAGAGCGTGCTTGCAGGCATGCTCTAGTAGGAGCATACAATGTACGCTCTTCGATTTGTAGAGTGGGGGTCGCGGAAATATTAGGCTACAAATTTGGAGTCGCGAGCCGAAAAAGGTTGAGAACCCCTGTTTTAGATGCAATGTAGGAAAATGAAAAAAATCGTTCTCAAAGGTGATCAAATGTGTTCCAATTCCTTGGATGAGGCCGGATTCACGTTAAGAGACATCGAAGTCTGTGGAAACGTCACTTGGTGCGACTGTTTATTATAGTTTGCATGTAGTTTTAAAAAAAATGTTCAATTTGAACACATTGAACGTTTCTGGCCAAACGGTCCGAAAAAATCCAAAAGACTTCGTACAGAATCGTTTCTTATACCTTTGAGAGCGTCTCTGTCAAGTACATCACTGCATCACTGAATGTGCGACTATTTTGGCTAGCGCGGCCACAGGGCCGGGCCAGGCGGGCCCGCGCTTGCGCCGAGAGCCGCCGCGCGCGCTGTGAAAATTGTGAAAATAAAATTCTAACTTTGTCGGCCTAAAAGTCAAAAGTATTTCATCTACGCTAAATCTGAAGGCAGTTTTAGATTCCTTGTTATATTTTACGTCGGATAGAATTCTTCGCGTGTTGAAATCGGTCCACTGGAAACGAAGCTACGTCAAAAACGGACTAACGGCAATTTCCTGGAATTTCCTTCAAAAAATAGCCGATTACTGGAGTCCTAGGGGACGAATCAATTGCCTCTCCAGCAGGGTTGTTAACGTTACTTTAAAGAGTAAAGACTTTACCAGCGTTACCGTTACCTTTACTGTAACGATAACGGTAACGCGTTACTTTTTTAGATATGAGTAAAGTAACGACGTTACCGTTACCAAAGAGGAGTAACGCGGTAACGGCGTTACCGTTACCGCAAGGCATCAAAAAAGAGCTACAAACCTATATTTTTCTCCCTTTTCTCTCCCTGCTGTGGTCAGCTCATTTGCCAAGGCGCTCAATCTGTTTCTGAGAGCAACAAATAAGCGTCTACGCTCAGAAAAAAATCTTTCAACACTTGCACTTTTCTGAGTGTGGACGCTTATTTGTTGCTCTCAGAAACAGATTGAGCGATGGATCTATTGAAATAGAGGTCCCATTGGCCATGAATTGGCAATGGGAGAAGTAGGTGCAGAAGTTTACATTAAAACATGTTTATCATTTAACTTTTACTGTCTAAACTTTAGTTTTAAAATAAGTGGCAATATTGGGAGAAGTAGGTACAGAAGTTTACATTAGAACATGTTAAACATTTAAATTTGACTGTCTTCACTTTAATTTTAAAATAATCTTAATTCACCCCAGCACTTTTAACCGGTAAAATTGTGGCTTTTAAGAAATTTTAGGATTTGAAGTAACGATAACGGCGTTACTGCGTTACCTGTAACGGTAACGCGTTACTTTTTCAGAAGTCGGTAAAGTAACGACGTTACCGTTACTCAAACCCGAAGTAACGGTAACGGTAACGCGTTACCTTTAAAAAGTAACGTTAGCAACCCTGCCTCCAGCCATGTGACTATACGTCCATACTACAACTGTGCAAAAGCTCAATATCTGGTCATGAAGTACAGCTTTTTTCCGTGAGGCCCACCGCCTATGCCTACCCGGGCGGCGCGCGCGACCTCCACGCCTGTGGCCAAGAGGTGCGTCAAACTGGTTGCCCACCTGGGCGGCGCGGTGCCTCGCCCTTATGGGGAAATCCGCAGTTTCCAGTGTGGGCTGCTGACCCTTTCCTGCTTATTCTCAAAGTGGAAACTCCAAGGAGTCCGAGTAGGCAACGGGAAAGCGGCCTTGCGACGGGGAAAAGGGTCGTAATTGCCGTTCAACATTTTGTGGCATTTAACATAAATTTGTTGTTTTTTGTAGTTTTGACTGTGTTTGAGGCC